AATCTCTCTTTACTCTTTTCCCTTGTCTTGTGCAGTTTATTGAGTGTAGCAACTCGATCTGCGCAAATTTATACGTTGAATTCAGTCATTCAGACCGAAGCAGGGAGTTGTCTTAAGAGGCCAGTGAGTTAAGAGTTCGAACCCCACTCCATATTCTGACGTTTTGGTAGCCGGATAGTAGTACATCACTAGTCTAAACATAATAGGTGTGACTGATTACCAACTGCATAGAATTACAAGCGGCCGTGGAGTAAACTAAGATATGCAGCTTGAAATAACCAAAACTCATTGTATGAGAAATAATGATACTATCTAGATGCTTAAACTTAAGTAGGCGAAGCGGAGTTCGAACCTCTAACCTACTTGATCGAAATCTGACGATCCAAACCAGTAAGCATTAGCCCTACAATTATATGAAAGATAATGATTGATTTATCATGAAAAACAAACTTCTATAAGAGAAGTTAGTAAATGAGATTACTGAGTTTCTTTAAGATGGAATTTGTCAGGAATAGAAAGTGATTAGCGAACCACTGGGCACTAGACCTATATATTAGTCATTGAATTCAGACTGAACGACACAATGGTAGAGTACCTACCTGAAAATTTGGCAGACTTTGGCACACACTGCTTACAAACTACAATGTAAAAGTTAACTTGGTACCTAACTGTTCTCCACCTAATTCTAATTCATGACAAACTTGAATAGTAGGAAGTTGTGGACTAGATTTTCAGTTGAAGATTGAGATGACTAGAGCACATGTTACGCTTGTCAAGCCATCCACATTCCTCATCGATAAATGATAGCTAGTATCAGATTGAGCTGGATAAGAGTTAGAGGTCATCACATCAAAAGATGGCCTTAATTCATGAAGTTTTTGACTGGTGATCTGAGTCAGCCAAATAGAAAGGTGTAGACTGTCTGTTTTGGGTATTCAAGATGCTGAAAACTAATAACTGACGATTGTTAGTAACATGGCTCAAAGTTGTTCTCAATGGTGCGGATGCATTCACTTATTGTAATCATTACAAAATTATTTAAAACAATGTCAGGGTGTTTAGAAAATAAAAACAAGACTATTCTGATCGTTTCTTCTTCAGGAGAATTATTCGGATCTTATTAAACATCAAAATATATGGTCAAACAGTACATAAATCAAAGCGGACCTTTGTAAAGGTCACTTGTAGGTGAACATTTGTGATTTTTACCGCGACCACTAGCCCCTGTCATCGGCGAGTAATTGTCCTCACTCCCACTGGTCATGACTGCTCACTAAAACTCCAAGCAACTTCGTCCTGAAGCCGGTCACTAACGAGCATCAGATTAATTTTCAAGAGTCGGTTTGTACAGATTTGATTGGTTTCAAGTGTGATCACAGATGGATATCAATTAGAGAACCACTGAAAACCAGCAAGGAATACTGGGCAGACGTTTTGTCATAGTTCAGGACTGATCGGTCGTACTGAACCCAGGACCTTCTGGATATAAGGCAAGCTAGTAGACCATTCGGCCACTGGAACCTGTGAACATTTATCATATATTCGTATTGATATTGTGAACTTGTCAATGTTAAATTGCTACAATATGTATATATCTATCTGCAGACGTATGCGTGTTGTCCACTGTATGGAGAACATGTCAAGTGATAAGTAGGATCATTGTTTAGAAGTCGGAATATATGGTGATGCAAAGTCTGCCTTCATATGTTTTATTCAATTAGGCTGCAAGATAGGTGGTGGTAATAGGTAACAAAAATCTTATTTTGATTTTATAGTGATTCAATCTGACTTGGAGTTCAAATAATCCCGAAAAATTCGCAACATTAATGGTCTGGATATTCATGCTCTTTGTAATCTCTCAGATTTATTAAATCCACATTATTTACCATGTAATTATTCTTTGCCCAGCATATCTCTGTTTATTACAGTTTTTTTTGCAGCTAGCACTGACGCCCTTTTATGTAAAGTCTTCTGTTGCAAATTCAGTTCAACTTAGTTCTCTATACTTAAGTTTGAAGAATAGTTATCGTTCATTTTCTAGTGGATGGACATACACTTGGTTACTGACTGGCTGAGTTTCAAGGACTTTGGAATATAGCACCAACAGTCTCCAACCAACGGTTCTTAGCATCCTGACTACCCCAACCAGGCATTGCACACCTCTCTACTTGGCTCAAACCACCGGTCAAAAACTTTTATAGACTGATGACAGGATTTAGTTTGACTACACCTAACTCTTTTCCGACCTAAGAGTATGTCAGGTAATACTGTTCAACGAGGAAGGTGCAACACGTGTCCAAGCTTCACAAACCCATCCATTGACTTCCCTTCCTTACCACCTAGCACTTCACACCTAACCTCATTTTTATACACCATATTATACCACTTAACACGGGAGATAGAAGGCAAACATCTGTCGTCAAAGTCTGCTAGCCTTTTCATGTCCTCTAATCTCAATGGCCATGTCTCACAGTAATTTACAAGGAGAGAGAGAGAGAACAGCTTTACAATACACACTTTTCTTGATAGATAGCTGAATATCACGTCTACGCTAGAGATGATGTAAGATGCCGAATATCATATGAGCCTTTTGTATCGGTGCTGAAACTTCATCACTAATCAGTACATTCGGGTTGATGCAACTTCTCAAATAAGTGAAATGGTCAACACGCCCAATCAATTCACTCCCTAACTTTAGGCTAGGAGAGTCGGTGTAGCCTAATTCTGCAGCATCACCTTATGTTTGACAGAGGTGAATCGTATGCTCGATGTTGATTACTACAGTTACCTTTACTATTATTATTTATTTTATTTATTTATTTTTAAATCATGGTATGTTTACTACTTTAAAACAATGAATAAAAGAAATTATGATTTCTCTTCTAAAGCATTTGATGACTTCAGGAAACATGCGAATTACAAGCTAATCAATTAAGTCGTCAGATGACAGTCTCTTTTTTGAATCATCACAATTTTTAACTTGATAAAATTACAATCCATTGTTAAAGAATATGAAAAGTTGGAAGTAATCATATGTTGTAAGAAATATTTAAAGTCAATCAGTCTGTATTCAAATCGCTTTTAGACGGAAAGCTCATTGAGTCAATAAACAGCCAAAATGAACTGATTATATGTATTATATCCAAGTAGTAGTTTCTGGTTTATTTCAATCAATCCAAAAGAAACTCAAGAAAGCATTGTTTCAACTGCAGCCAGAGGAACGGATGAAGATGTCAAAGCCAGCCACAATCGGAAAGGCAAGATACACATACCTTCATCAACCTGAAATCACTTTGGAATTCTTCTTCACTCAAGCAGCACAAACAACAAGGTTAGAATATTCAACACAAATGTCAAGTCAGTCAGTTCTTCTTTATAGCTCACAAACTTCCACCGTGCGTCATGAAAACCATTTCCAACAAGCTACTGCAAACTTTTATCAACAGTCACCTCCGTTCCGTATTGCAGATCAAATGGCCGGCCAGCCAGAAAGAATTAGCAACAAGAAACTATGACAACAAACTAACCAAGAACCTATCGCTTAACAGATAAGTAGGAGAAAATGGAGGTGGATTGGGAACATGTTGAGGAAACCGTTGAATGACATCGCGCCATCGCCAGGCCATTGCTCGAGTGGAATCCCAGTGACGAGTGACGAGTAGGTCATCCAAGGGCGACGCGGAGATCGTGCGAGATGAGAGACTATGGGCAACCGTGGTCCCAGCTACAGAGGACAGCAGAAAATAGAACAAGGTGGAAATGTGTTGTTGAAGCCCTACGTTTTACTCGGAACCCAAGGGATCAATAATACAATAATAATAAAGGAAACTAATTTCATCTTTAACTGCAGCCGTGGAGATGTAGGTAAATGGCTTAGGCACTCATTTTTCAATCAAAAAAAGGTCACTAGTTCGAATCTCATATCACCTAATCCAACCTGATTAACTAGGCATACTGTTATAAGCCTCGAAACAATAAATGTGGCTCATATATCATAAAATGTGTTATGGGTAACTGAGTTCCAACTTGAACACACTACTACTGAGTGATACATGTTGAACTTTCTAAGATGAAATTAGCATAGATGAGCCTTTATAATGACTTCTGATAAGCATAAAATTTGCGATTTAAAAGTCCTTACCGATTAAGCCTATTCATCTAAGATCACAGTTAACAATGCTTTGCACTAATGAGTCTACTCACATGGTGATCGTATCAAATATACAGACACACAATCGATCCCAACTGACAGTTTCTACCTTGACATAGTGGTGGCTCTTGTATATCACAATGATCCAACGGGTTACACTGGCTGGAGCGAACGCTTCTGCAGGTCCTACGATACCAAAAAGCACTTAGGATAGCGATCAGACTAAGAGAAGTTACCATCGTAGTGTAAGTCATTTACACCATGAGTCAATTCGTAATGCCAGCGAATAGGGATGTAACAGCAGTGAGGTGCTTCCTTCAAATGATCAGCAAGCCAAACTATGCTGCTTCTCCGCTCTGGAGATGAGTGATTAGAAATAAATAACAAATATCGATCCCCGAAATTGTATAACCCGACTTACACTGTGATTATTAGTAGCCAGCGATAAGATCATACAAACACAACTCCAAAAACCACTTCAAACCGACCGTATGTGACTGGTTTCAAGCAGTTGTACATGGAGTGTGGCGACTTGAACTGCCACACATATGTGCAAAGTTCTATGTCGAAAACCGACCGACCGAGTTGTACATTGAGCTCTACAGTCAAGCAACACTAACACTCAAAGAAGAAATCAACTTTTAAGATGTAGGCAACCGGGAAGTAGTAACCACCCATATACTTCTATAAGCAGACAAAACTTTCTTGATCAGGTACAATCGATAGAATCGATTCAGTGAGCGCTATAAAAAGTAGGCGCCACTATGCTGATTACTTTTCGGTGTACATAGAACATTTTATGTAACAGTATTTGAAATAAATTAGAAACATTATTCTATTAAATACTCACCTGATAATTTTCAAAGAAATTAGTCAGTAAAGTTGTTAAGCTGTTGATAAATTTTTTAAAAAAATAGTAGAAAAAATAAACATTAATGTCTTACAAGTGAAATTTTTTAAAGTTTACAGAAAAAAATATCATCCTGATATATTAATAATTGTTCATATGGATCGCAACAGTACCTTAAAACTCCGAAATCATGTCAATTTCGGTTTCACGAAGAATCACTAGAATGCGGTACAGTAATTTCAGAAGTATTTGGCTAACACAGAATTAACATTCTGAGTTGTTATTTTTCTAGGACTCCCAGAGTTGAGCATAACACCCATCTAACACACTTCTACTTTCTAAAGAACTAATGTATGATGAGATTTACATGATTTTCAACTGGAATTACATCACATACCGGTACTAACCGTAGAATCAGTATATGCTAAGAAGTATTGGGTAGTTACTACATTCAACCCCTATTACTTGAGCATCTGTCGACAACAACAACAACAAGAAATTCCTGCAGGATCGAATCCGAAACTGTTAGGTCCTGTGACAGACATATTACGACTCACAAACACCCTCCTATACAATGATTAAGTTTTCAACTGAACATTATTTACTAATCTTGAGATGTGTTAGGAAGGATAACTCATCGTAGGTAGCCGTGAATTCATGACTGGTGCATGCACTGGCATGATGACCTGATTGGACAGTTCTTAGACTCATTTATTCTTGGAGGATCTTCAAGGCCATGCAGCCAATCAGATGTTGATTTTACGGTTTAAATTTCCGTGGATGTGTAAACAATATATATATATACCCTGTATTTTGAATAATAAAAGATTGTTGTTATCGCGGTTGTCGTTGTTGTTGCAGTTAAATCTGCCTTTTGTGTTTATCTCAATGTGGAGGAATGTTTTCAAGTGATTGAGTGACTACAGTATAGCGTCTGGAGCCGCATTGTAGTCAAATTAAACGACAACCACAAGTCAGAAACCCTCCGTTATAACAAACTGAAGTTCTCATGACAGACAGATTGTAACCATTTAGGCCAACTACTTGGTCAGGGTTAAAGGACTCTCATTCACCGATAACAATGGATAGAGGTCGCGTTATGCGCTGCGTTGGTAGGAGTTAGAGTATTATGAACCATTAAGATTAGAAACAGTAACTGGACCATAGATTAATTATTGGAATACCTGAATGACCTAAATTATATTATAGAGGAGGATTAGACAAATATTCTGATGTCAGTTCGTGATAAACTCAGCCCTACAGTACACCGGAGAAAATAAAATAAGCACACTTTTCCTCTTTTCAGTATTTACTAATAACCTAAGTAAAACTGGCCTAATAAAACAAATAAAAAGTGAATTATCTGAGCTGACTATCTGTCTTATTTGTATCACCCTACATAAACATTTTTTTCAAAAAGTAGAATGAATGAACAGAAAATGACATAACTGTCCAAAAACTGTGCGTCAGTGGCACAGTGGTAGGATGCTTGCCAACCACGCATATGGTCCGAGGTTCGATTTCCGGCCACAAACGCACTCCCTTACCTCACTAAGCCAGTAATAAGACCGGTAGAGAGGGAAGGTTGGGCATGAGGTTGGTAACCCCATTACTTACTTTACTTTACTTCGGCTATCTCCTACGGGAGGATGAGCCGGCTTCATGAACATCTCGAATCATCGCTGCCCAGGCGCGGCGATCTGATGTGTAAGAGAGTTCATGAAGTTTCATGGGAATTTGGTACGAGTGTTGTCCCCAGAATCGCTCGGCCTTTTGTTTGAGAGTGCAGCTCTAGCCTTTACAAAACCAAGTGTAACCTACAAGGCAGTAGGAGTGGAGTAGGGAGTCCACTATCCATTGGCAGCCGGTGACCGGAGTTCGGTTCATACGCCTTTTTAAATGAGGCCAGACATCCAGGACATCCAACAAGCCCTTTGTCCATACGTCTGCCGGTGAGCTCCAGTGAGCTTCATACGCCAGTCGTTGGAGGTTTGGAATCAGGGTTTAGCCATCTCCCCTAGACTGTCACCCAATGGATAGTCAACCCGGTGAAGAGCGCCGGGCATCCGCTTTCGCCCTCTCACTTTGGTGAAAAACACCTCCGCCACGTGAAGGCAGTGAGTAGGACTTCCTCAGGAGAGGCTATGTAAGACGCCCGGTCATATGGGAGCATTTCAAGAGGTGTGCGGAGGGGTGGCCAACCCGCAGCGCACGGCACCCACCCCCGACCATCCGTAAAAGTAAACACCACTGCTACTAAAACCTCATAGCTCCAGCTATGTTCCACTGGGAACGTAAAGGAAGAAAAGAAAAGGAGAAGCACAAAAACCATAATCTGTTAACAATTTTCTTTTTACACTGCTTACTTTTACAACGCTTTCATATATTACGCTATAATCAACAACTGTCTATGCATGGTTTAATGCTCTGAGTTAAACAATTCTGATTTTGATCTTGTTATTCAATCAAATACATTCAGATAGGAGTAGATATGAATATTACACAGATGATAAATAACACTTATATTCCAAATCAGTCTCTATTTGGGGTTGTTATATTCTCTGAGATGCACAGTCAAATTGCAAAGCTTCCATTGTCTTCCTCCATACAACATCTTCAGAGCTAATTGAAATGTAAAGTAGGCTATCGGGACTGTTAACGGACGAAATATCTATCCTTTCTAAAGGCGTTGATTGTGGTTGGCAGTCGATTGAAATTTTCTTGAGATTGTATTCATTAGGATAGACACTGATTGTTCTATTGATCTGATATTTAACTTTTTGATCGTGTGACTTATTCTCAGTTGATTCATTGGAAAATCTGATTATTCTCTATTGTTCCCCCCTTAGTTTCTCCCGGGCTACTGAAGAAAGACTATAACATATTACGCAGGATGTTAAAGGTTATCAGCAGGGTGCCACTTAACCAACTTGCTAATATTCTGGTTGACAGGCACATGGACTCATGTGAAAAATGGGCCAAATCCATTTTATCTAACTCACAACACCCCCTTCACTCACAACTCTCCCCTTGCATCTCATCAGGTAAAACCAGAAGCCTATATAGAAAACTATATGCTCTCACCAGCAAGTATAAAAACTCAACCATACCCTACTTAGCTCGTGTTCTGTGCGATAAAGAAAGCATTAGGCGTGACACCTATAATTCATTAAATAGTCAGTAGAACAACTGGACCTCGTCTTCCCAACTCATATCATTTATAGGTACAACATTTTCTTTCTTTTCCTTTTCTCTCTCTCTTTCTCTCTTTTCCGTTATGTTCTGCTTTGTTTCTTTCTGTCGCTTACGCCAGTAAATATGAAAGCTCCTACTTTTCTAAAACCTTCAAACACTGTTCAACTTTGGCTTTGCTACCGACATGCCAATATGTTGTTGTAATAATGAACTGAGATTTCCTTAATCTATGTAGAATTCTGTTTATTGATAATGTACTAACTGGATGCAATACTGTAGTAAAAATGCTGAGAATTCCATTCTGTATCACAAGTACAGTTTTGGAATAAAGCAAATTATTATTATTATTGATATTCACATGTCTGTTAGTTGAAAATTGATTCTGAACACAAGGCTTCCAGGAGTTCTCTGGTATTCTTCGTGTTTCCCATGGCACATTTCCCTAATTGAATTGATGCCCACGATTGTCCACATGAATTCATATAGATAAAAGTATATAATTCTAGTTAGCGCTCTTGCATGAAGGTGAAGTCCGCAGTTGATTCAATCTAGCTTATACATGATGTCAGCTTCGCCTTCTTTTGATACTGAGCCTTTCAGCTTTCATAGTATGAACGAAAGATAACATTGAATAAATTTGTGGGTGATATCTATCCTAAAAAGTTACAATAGTCTATTCTTCATATACAGTAAATCAACTTTCCTTGTACTTTGATTGGATGACTTTGTGCTGGCCAGTCAGGTTGATAGCAGTTCCATGGATATTCATTTTTCTGGAATACGATTATAATATATTTCTCTCCTATTTTCCACAAGGCGGGAGTGCTGCAATATTTTCTCACCCTTTTCAGTAATTTCAGTCTTGATCACGAATTGACTTTAGTTAGAGAACCATTATTAACTAGGAAGTACTGAACAGATGTTTCGTCCTCAGTCGGAACTTCCCAGCAGTACGCACCAATAATCCCACCGGGAATAGAACCCAAGACCATTCGATTACAAGCAGAACTTTCTTTAATAATGTTTGTATACAACTTATTTTGTGTGTTGTAAGGTTATTGCTTTTCTAATTGAGTATTCGATCTTTATGGGTGGGAGATAAGTCCTCATGTGATAATCATAGAGAAATCAGCCTAACGAACATAGTCTCTAAAATCCTAGGCTCAGTAATCATGAACAGACTAAGCCGAACTCGGGAGGAACAAACGAGGGAAAATCAAGCGGGCTTTAGGCCAGGTAGAGGGTGCATAGATCATATCTTCACTCTCCGACAGATCCTAGAACATAGGCACACTTTTAGGCGTCCAACAATTGCCATATTTCTTGACTTGAAGGCGGCTTTCGACTCCGTGGATCGAAAGGTACTATGGCAATGTTTGACTGCGAAGGGAGTGCCAAGAAAGTACATTGCACTAATCAAGGCACTCTACTCAAACTCACGTAGCCGTGTAAGCGCTTATGGGGAATTGTCATCTGAATTGATAACAACCAGTGGTGTCCGTCAAGGATGTCCACTTTCCCCATTTCTGTTTAACTTCATCATAGATATGCTAATGGAAGTATCCTTAACCGAACTTAACGACTTAGGAATCGACTTGTTACCAGGGAATGGTCTTATAGACTTAGAATATGCAGACGACATAGTCCTGTTAGGGAAGGGCGCTGACAAAATGCAGAGTCTTCTGAACACCTTGAGCAGCAATCTTCGTATGTTTGGCATGCGATTCGCCCCTGTGAAATGTAAGATGCTGCTACAGGACTGGACTACGTCAACTCCAAGCTTAGTGATAGGGAGTGAAGTGATAGAACATGTTGACCACTTCACCTATTTAGGAAGTTGTATCAGCACCAACGGACTGATTGGTGACGAAATCACAGCACGGATCCAGAAAGCTCGAGCTGCTTTCGCTAACTTACACCGTCTCTGGCGTAGGTGTGACATCCGGCTGTCAACCAAGGGACGTGTATACTGCTCAGCAGTTCGCTCCGTCCTTCTCTATGGCGGTGAGACGTGGCCATTGAGAGCGGAAGACATGAAGAGATTGTCTGTTTTTGACCACAGATGTTTACGATCTCTTTCTCGCGTTAGGTGGCATAATAAGGTAAGTAATATTGACGTCAGGCGTAGAGTGTTGGGCAAAGAGGGAAAATCACTCGAAGAGGCTATGAAGTTACATAGATTGAGATGACTAGGTCACGTGCTGCGCATGCCTAGCCATCGTCTCCCCCGACGGTCATCACTAGCTGATATAGGTGCAGGTTGGAAAAGAGTAAGTGGTGGCCAAACAAAGACATGGCATCAATCCATGAAATCCTTGACAGTTAAACTGAGTCAGGTAGGGAGATGCAGACTTCCGGGTTGGGGCCCTCGGGACTCTAAGAATCAATGGCTGGAGACACTAGGTGACATGGCTCAAAATCGTTGTCAATGGCGCAGATGTATTCAGTCTCTTTAACCTTCATATTCCTTTCTACCATTACTCATTCTGTTTCACTCTTATACTTGTCAAAACTCTATTGATTCCCTGCATTCATCTTCTTGTCTTCCTTGTGTGCTATTTGGAACGTGGCAACTTGAACTGCTGCACTTTGGTGCCAAGTTCTATGTTGAATCCAGACAGACATGGGTGGGCTTTCTGTACACTTGTGCTAACAAGTTTCTAGTGTTTATTCACTTGAATGAAAACAGACGAAGCAATCAATATCAATGGAAACGAATACATTCTCAAGAAAATCTCCAGAAACTACGAATCACAGTAGAAGTCGCCACAAAGGGAGGATATTTCGTGTAAAGAGTTTCAACAGCTTACTTCATCACATTGCGCGATTAGTGCTGAAGAAGTTGTGTTGAAAGACAATCAGAGCTTTGTATAAATAAACCCTCCAGCACGAAGAAACCATCAAAACCAAATACATCTCTACATGAGTTGTAGATCGTCTTCATCACTTCGCATAAAATTATACTATACATAATTATTTATTTATTATTTTGTTCGTTAACGTTCCCAGTGGAACACAGGGCAGTGGTATTAATTTCTACAGGGTGGGGTTACCAGCCTCATGTCCAACTTTCCCTATTCACTGGTCTTATTACTGGCTTAGAGAGGTACAGCAGTGCGTTAGTTGGGGACCGGACCACATGCATGGTTGGTACACATTCTACCGTTAAGCCACCGACTCACATACATTATACATATATAAACGACATAAACTAGATTCTAATAATGAAGAAACAAGAACACACAAACAGATATATAACAAAACTAACTCTGTTTCTGGAGTGACATTACACTCTTTCGGTATTAGATTAGATAGAGCTAATTGAATTCGTAACAGTGTGTTGGCATTTGTTTTACGACATTTTGAGGCTAAATCAGAGGCAATTGTTGCATCTTTTACAGCAGAATGATAACCAGCTAGGATGCATTTCTCTTCACGAAAGAATACATCATTATCTTTCTGATTATTTAACCAAATTGTTTCATCAGCTGATTTTGATACAGATTTGAAAAAATCAGCTGCCTAAATAAATTCAAGAGAAGAGAAAGAAAATAAGGAGAGATAAACTTCATTTATTGAAGCAGTATCACTTGAATCGTTGTTGCACTATATTTAAGATACCATAAAAATAAAGCGATATTATGTCAAGCCATTTTGACATGGCATCCATGAGGTCAGGGGGGCATACTGATGGCAAGTCACAAACAAGGATGAAACAGTTGTCCATTACTCCGTGTTTTTCAAAGATTCTCTAACTGGGGTTAGAGTGCATGATCAATCTTGACATCAATGATTTGTTTCGACATTTAACATTTGATCAAAATGTCTCCATTGAGAACCAGTATATATTCCAGCAACTTCTATCGTAACAATAGGGTGATATATCATTGAACAACATATAATATATGTGATTCATAGTAAAATGCATGAGAACAGTGTTGATTAGTTATCGAGTAAGACCAGTGTAATGGTTTATTTAAGGGTTTTACATGTAGGAGAACACGGCACTTATAAGTCGACTTTGATGCCTTATAAGCGATGGAAACAGAAGTTTTATCTGACAACAGTCGAAAATCGACACAACTCATTCAACACAACAAAAAGCCTAGTGTTGGTGAGACGGCTGGTTTGTCAACTGACAACTTTTAACGAGGAGCAGAGAACTTTGAAAAGCTACAAAAGATGAAGATTCCCAGCTAACAACAACAACAAGCAGCAATTACCATCATCAATGGGAAAAATCTACGAGAATTGGTCTTTTTCGCTTACCTCACCTCACCTGAGAAGCATCGTCTCAACTAGAGACGGAACCGGTAAAGATGTCAAAACCAGCAAGGATCAGAACAGGAAAGTAAGAAGACGGGTCTTCATTGCTCTGAAATCAGTGCACAGATGACCGACTGCATTTCACCGAGGGAACAAGATTCAAATTTTCAACACTACTATCAGGTGTCAGTGCTTATATGTGGTTTAAAGGATTAGCATGCGCATCACGAAGAGCATTTCTAACAGCCAGCTGCAGGGTAACTTTCATCAACAGCTAGCTACCTCCACTCGGTTCTGATGATCAGATAACCGGCTGGCAAGGGGATAAACAACAAGGAAGTGTGGCAGGGAACAAGCCAACAATCTGTTACCCAACAAATGTGCAGAAGGAAATGGAGATGAATTAGATATACACTGAAGAGACAATTTCAAATGACATCACACGCAAGTCAGGACTCGAATGGAAAGCAACGGAGTTAGGTGACCAACCGTGACACATAGACTATGTGAATAGGAAATAAAAGCTTCTGCTTAGTCGTGGGTCCAATGAAAATGATGACTCGGACCTGAATACAATTAAGGTATCCCATTGAAGCCGCATGTTCTACTTGATACTTAAGGAATGCATATAATAAAAGAAGCATTTATTTATTCACCTTCATTTTTCACTACCAAATTGAAAAGCAGACATGAAATGCGGTCAGTCCAAGAATGATATAACAATCGTAGATTCTGTGCTAATAATATCTGTTTGTCTATCTAACATAGAAACAAAATACGTCGGTGGCACAGTGGTTAGGACTCTCGCCGACCATGCACATGGTCCGGGGTTCGATCCCCTGCCGATGCACACCCGATATCTATGGTCGGCCTGCTAAATTTGGGCTACCGATATCCATGCTGGAAATTCCATGCTTGTATTGAAAATACGGTGTGGCATTAAGCTGTAACCAAAATAAAATTAAAATAAATAAAAATACATCCTGAACACTAATACTACTTAACACTTCAAGGTAATCTCCTTAAAAGAAGCTACCTATGCATATGATGATGACTGGGAATCAGTAAACACCGAACGGAATAAATAATTAGGTGTATATTAAATATACAATGAATCTTCCGGTATATTTTTTGTAACATTATATTAGTTGTATAAGTGCATTGAACATACCTTCTCTTTTCGTGTCTTATTTCGTACATTCAACTCTTCTTCAAATTCTAAGAAAACACGAAAACCATGATCATGTTTAAATGTTGGATGAGAAGCCAATCGTTGTAGAAAGACTTCATGCATTGCAACTGTTTTTTTAAAAGTAGCTAAGTATTCACTAAAAAAAATTTGAAAAAATAAATGAAAATATGGATAAAGCAAAAGAAATCAACTATCTTTGATACCGGTTAGAGAACCATTAGAAAACCTCGGAGTACTAGACAGCTGTTTCGTTCTAGTGTGGGACTCTTCATTTGTACGCACCCACGGCCAGGGGTCAAACCCAGAACCTTCCGGTTACAAGGCGAGCTCGCAGACTATTTGGTCACTGGGACCACACCCCGTGGTCCGTAAAATTGGCAGAAGTTGGAATTCATGGGCTATTGGATCGAGTCCTATTGACTGAATGGTCTACGACCTCGCCTTGTAACCGGAAGGTTCTGGGTTCGCCCCCTGGCAATGGGTGAGTACTGATGAAGAGTCCCAAACTAGAACGAAGCAGCTGTCTAGTACTCCCAGGTTTTCCAATTGTTCTCTGACCGATGTCAGCTCATGATGAAATCCTGAAACTAATCAAATTCATGCAAACCAACACTTGGATATCTTTGTTACATTTGTTCGCACGTTAATTTTACATTTCCCGCTGACTGATTATATAGAACCTAAGTGCTCAGTTTCTGTTGTCTTGGGAACAAATAATAACTGATACCCTACACATAAACAGTGGCTCTCGTGCCCTAGTGGATAATGCAGGGTTGGAGTCTCACTGAGAATGCAATTAGATCCAGTTGATGAGTCCCCTAAATGAAACAAAATGTACATCTTCGATTCCACTGCTATTCATCACCAGTCAAAATATCTTCGATACAATTTGCAGACTTAAGATGAAATGTACACCATGAGTTAGTCATCAATATGTATAGAACACAAAACTTTGTCATTTAAGACTTTATTTACACAGGTAGATACTGAGTTTTTTAAGTGAGGATAAAAGCAATCGCGAGGTGTTTTCCGTATACAGTATAGCAAGCGCGGCAGTAGATATACCAGCTGAGTAAAACAAGTCCATGGAACAACCTTTAAAATAACCAAACGTAACATGTGATATTATTTATAGCATTCCATTAAGCCTGTAACACAAGATTACATTCAATCAACTACCTAAGAAAATTAAAGAAGTAATTCACAGCCCCTGTTTTATCCATTTAAGTAAGCGGGAACAAAAGTGTGACAAGTTTGTTTCTCTACAACTTGAATAACTCGAGTTGGTATTTCACCAAGAAAACCATTAGTCACTAGGATGCAAATGAGATGAAATATTCATATTTGGTTTTCAGTTAAGATTAACAACCACCTGTTCTACTATCTATGAAGTTTTTTGACTATAAAAATGAATCTAACAACTATTGACTTTATAAGTCGACTTATATTATGCCATGGTCTTCATAATTCCTATAAACTCTTCTATGTCAATCCTATCAAATAAATCACAATTGGCTTCTCATATCTGTATATTTCACTCGCATACTTCTTTATATATGTACGCAATAGGTTAAGGACATAGACATTTGTTCGAAGTTAGTTATTAGAAACAGATCTTTCACGTACTAGGCTATGACCCTCACAGTTACTGCTCTGTAACCCCAGCTAACTGAATGGTTTCAACTTAGAACTTTGCACAGAAGAACAGCAGTTCAAGTTGCCACTCTCCATGTACCACACAAAAGAGAGAAAAAGGAGATTCAAAAAGAACAATAATAAGCAAAAATGCACGGCAGAAAGAGTAGTAACATGGGAAAACTATAGGGTCTATTGGATATGGGAGATTGCAAAGAGTGAATGCATCTCAGCCAGCCATTGAGAACGATTTTGAGCCATATTACCAATTGTCTCCAACCTTCATTGGTTCTTACCATCCAGGGGACCCAAACCAGTCAGTCAGTTTACACCTTCTCACGCGGCTTAAACTATCAAAGATTTCATGGATTGATACCAAGCTTTGGCTTGACTACCAACTAGCTCTTTTCCAAACTAACCAATCCTGTGTCAGCTAATATTACTTACTTACTTTGCTTCGGCTATCTCCTACGGAAGGATGAGCCGGCTTCATGAACTTCTCAAATCATCGCTAGCCAGGCGCAGCGATCTGATGAAGAGAGTTTACGAAGTTTCATGGGAATTTGGTACGAGTGATATCCCCAGAACCACTCGGCCTTTTGTTTGAGAGTGCAGCTCTAGCCTTTACACAACCAAGTGTGACCTACAAGGCAGTAGGAGTGGAGTAGGGAGTCCACTATCCATTGGCAGCCGGTGACCGGAGTTCGGTTCATACGCCTTTTTGAATGGGGCCAGACATCCAGGACATCCAACAAGCCCTTTGTCCATACGTCTGCCGGTGAGCTCCAGTGAGCTTCATACGCCAGTAGTTGGAGGTTTGGAATCAGGGTTTAGCCATCTCCCCTAGACTGTCATCCAATGGACAGTCAACCCGGTGAAGAGCGCCGGGCATCCGCTTTCGCCCTCTCACTTTGGTGAAAAACACCTCCGCCACGTGAAGGCAGTGAGTAGGACTTCCTCAGGAGAGGCTATGTAAGACGCCCGGTCATATGGGAGCATTTCAAGAGGTGTGCGGAGGGGTGGCCAACCCGCAGCGCAAGGCACCCACCCCCGACCATCCTGAGGCTTTGGAGGCTAATATTGCCCGTCGAGGAAGGCGATTGATGGTTAGGCATGCGTAGCACATGTTCTAAGCATCTCAAATCGATCCACCTCTACAACCTCATCGTGTGACTTCCCTCCCTTACCTTAACACTACTCCTAACCTCAGCATTACTCAATATATTCTAGCACATAACATGGGAGACAATTCAAACACCTGTGATCATCTCTTTCATTTTCACTAACCCCACTAGTTATTCCATCAGTAAACGTTGTGAAAAACCTTTATCACCGCGTTGAGTGTCGACGGTTCAAGTTTTATTCCCAGCACACGCACTACTCTTAAACCTCACCTAGTTAACTAGCCGGCAGTAAATCTAGATAAGAGAGCAGGCTGGACGCGAGACTAATAACCTAACCCCATAAAAACGATACCAAGGCTAGTGACACTTCAAAACTTAAAGCTCGAAGGTCTATGCTCCACTTGGAACGCAAAATAAATGGAAAAAGACACTCATACCGTTCATATAAATACAAAGCCATAAACACTTACGCTTCTAGTTCAGCTTTCATTTTCAATAAATCTTCTTTGGGTAGATTACCGTCATTTTCTCCTAATTTTTGTAATTTAGCTCGAGATGCATCGAAATCTGGTTTGGGTGGAACTGGTGGGACCTTAGTACAACGAGACAATAGGAATAATAATAATAATAGAGGCAGAAAATAATTTTACTAGTGTATTAAGGTCACATTTATAAGGTAACTAATTGTTAGGTGAAATATACATTACGATGATCAAAGAAATTTAACTCCCAATGATCTGATAACGACTTTTGAACATTCAGTGAATGAAGTTCTTTTCATAGACCCTATATCTCCTTGAAGCTCTAGTTCATAGTAAATAAAGCCGTTTACCTATTTGAACTGAGTTATCCGGAACGGATTTTTCATGTACCAAACTAAGAACAGCACTTATATTTTTGATTTTTGATTACAGCTTGATGCCACACCGTATTTTCAGTACAAGTATGTAATTTTCAGCATGGATATCGGTAGCCCAAATTTTAACGGCCGACCATAGATATCGGGTGTGCGTCGGCAGGGGATCGAACCCCCGACCATGTGCATGGTCGGCGAGAGTCCTAACCACTGTGCCACCGACACAGACTGATGACACCACTCACCTAGGCTGAATCAGGCAGAAAGGGACTCAAACCCGGACCCCATCGGCTGTAAGTCAAGTGCTTAGACGAATGAGCTATTTCCTCGGGTTCAGATTAAAACATGGGACTTCAGCAGCACATTCCCATCCCATCTGTCTCCAGCAGTCTTTTTCATCAGCCAACTTGACGATTGACCATAAACTTTCATTTCCTCCTCAATGTCACACTCGGACTGGTTACGTGATGGTGCATTTGAGTGAGTAGATGATCCCTTTTAATATGACTTTTGGTCTGTACGAAATCAGATGACAATAGATCTCGAAATGTTTACTATCACAAGTGGACGCACACATACAGAGCTTCTTCTTCTTGTGGAGGATGGAAAATATCTCGGTAAATATCATAAATGATGCCATCTCAGATGACATTTCACCATAGATTTTATTTATTCGAATTCAAAAGTAGTCAAGAGTGTACCTCGTTCATACTACTGACTCAAGTAAGTAGTTGCAATACCAGCCAGCTCATCAACTAAAAGTGTTTACTTGTTAAGTAAGTGACAATTATCCAACCCAATGACTGTCATAATTTGAATCGCTTATGGGATTATAGACACGCACTGTTGTAAAACCCTAATCTGGCAGGAATGATTTGTGTAAAAATCGATTATTAGTAATAAGACACTTAACTCCATTCACTTTAGTAAACATAAACCTTATTCCATGACCAGTAAAGACAATCACAGTTCATTAAATATTTATAGCATTTATTACATTAAAAACACTTTTTTTTCTACACCTGGTTGGTTTAACACTTTTATTCTACCTAATGCAAGAAAGAAATCAATGATACAATGTTCTGAAATCCATAAATGGATTGTGTGTGTATTTTGTTAGCATGAATGAGATAGCTAAATAACAAACCAGTATTTGGAAACGAGTGCTTACAGAATAAAACACATGGATTTAAAGGTATTGAATGGCTCTTTTTTTTAAAAAGACGTACAGTAAATTGATACAGCTCCAAAGACTTGTCTGTGAAACGCATTACATGATGAGGCTAATTAGCTATTTTTATGCCTTGCTAACATGTACCAATGGTATCCGAAGGTGACATGGAGGAGATAAAAGCTTACGGAAAGTCGTGGAACCAGCTAAAAATGTTTGTAGAGAACAAGATGAAATGGAGAAGTGCTGTTCCATCTCTAACCTAAGGGAGTAATAATAAATACTGAATAACTCTGATCGATAATAACAACGTGGAGACAAGCACAATTGTCAGTCAATTCCCCACTACTACAAACAGGAATAATAACAATCAAAAGATACTAATACAATAAATAAAAATGATTCAGAAAACTATAAGAAAGTAGCAAAGTCACAAGTTCTGGAAGAACTGAGTACCTTGACGTGGTGGTCGCACTTGCATAGCTGTAATGGCCCAACCAGCTACACTGACTGGAACTGATGTTCCTGCAGAAATGCCATTCGGACAGCGGTTAGACTACAAAGAGTTACTATCACAGAGAAAACCCTTTACAATATATCGGAGGTCTGTAGAATAAGTCATACAGTTGGCAAATAGGGATGTAATAGAAGCGCTTCCCTCAGACGACCAGCAGGCTAGCTATGCTGCCTCTCCGCTCTGCGAACGGAAAGACAGAAAAGATCTACTCCGGAAATTGTACACCTCGACTCATACTGCGGCGGTAAGATCTTAATACTAAAATCACTTTAAACAGACCATGTGTGACTGACCTCAAGTAGTTGTCCAATAATCTCCGCGATTATGTAACACTTATGCTCTGTGTTTGAACTACTCTTAGAAGAAATTAACTTCCACGGTGTGGGGAGATGGTAGTTAATAAACACCCCGATTGGGAAAACAAAGCTTTCCTAATTATCAACTACCTTCATTGTCTTCCTTTCCTTTCACTGTTAATATTATTTCATAGGTATATTCAGCACCTCTTCTTAACTGTAAGAGCGTCAACAGCTATCAAAGCCGATAAAACACTAAAGATAGTCTCTTAGAATCACGATACCAACTTCATATTGAAGTATTCAACTGCAAAATCCTCTGCCAAATAGGTCAACAGGCTTCACTAGGCAGAACTCTGGCATTTCAAGGTATGCATGTATGTTGTGTTTTAGAGAGACGCATACAAGACCTTTGAACTGTACTGAATACATGTTCTTGCCAAGTTCCAGTTCTGCTTCCATTTCTTCTTTGGTTATCTATCCGTCTGCTACACACTGGTGTCGGATGTGGACAACGCTACTCTGCAAAACATGAATTCTGCATCAGATAGTGAACCACCTAAGCTGCTTCCAAAGTAATGCTCACCAACCATGTGGAATCCACTCACAATGCATAAACCTCGTGTTTTCCAGCTCACGCCGAGCTCAGATTACGCTCTTGTCCGTGCACACATAGGTCTACAACTGTATGGACAATGAAAATGGACAGCTGTGAAGCTGCTACATCCCCAGCTTGATGAGAATACTAAGTCTTCATTTAGGCAAGAAATAAATAAAAGTGTATCTGAGAATGACAGCAAGATTCATCCTTACGAAGCCTGGCATAATGTCCAATCAGTCGTATAAACAGCAGAAAAGGCGGATGATAACTGAGGATCAAAGGTTATTAAATACCAGTGGATTTCTGTTGCTTTATTCGAACTGACAGACGCAAGACTGAATTCGGTGGGCGAAAATTGTTTAAACGCAAGCTGACCAAAAGTCTCCCCAACAACAGTGAACAATAGTGGGCGTTAAAAACCCAAGGAAATCGAAAAGGTATAGGCGATAGGTGAAACCAAACATCTATTTAGGCTCATTACGAAAACAAATAACTAAAAGATACATGATTCAAAAACCATGCGTAGAATGAACTACACTCTCAGGAGGAACAAATCCATGAGAACCAAGCATGTCAAAGTATTAATTATTCAGAAAAATAGGTCGAAGGATTTATCATCATTAAAAGTAACTTACAATTAAACCTGCATATGCATCGTTTTCAACTAGATGATCATGTAACCATACAAATTCTTCATGCATTCGTTGTACATCGCATTCATTTTGCTTGAAATCAGGTAGTGTGGTCTATTATTGTGAAAATTAGAAACAAGAAGCAAAGCAAAGCAAAAGAATGTTAGTGAATGAATTGCTACAACATTTCAATGTTTATCAGAATTATAAAATACAACTTCCAGAATGACATTTCATATTCAAACACTAAGATACTATGAACTAACGATAAATAATTCAAAATAGATTCAAATTCCTTTAGGGGCTAACACACGTAACTCAGCTGTAGGGTATAAGCGCATGTCTATTTACTTACCTAAAAAGTTCGATTAAAGGTAAGTTTATAAATATTATGTGTTTTCTTAGGCTTTTTTCATTCGGTGTGTCTCAGTAGCGTATTTATCACTTCTGCCCTGTGACACGGCAGCAGAAAGCGCGGTCGTTGTTAATCCGGGCCCCGACCGATCCGGCATGATATTTTGTGATTTATTTGAAGTCATGGGATTGGATTGGGTAACTGCTTTTAGTCTAACCGCTATCCGAACAACCTTTCTGGCATGGTAGGACCTGCAGGAACATAAGTCTGAGCCAGTATAGCTTGTTGGGTCATTGCGGTGTTCAAGCCCGACCACCACGTCAAGGTAGCAGCTTTCGGCCTGTCTACCTTTGTGTGCTATTTGGAACGTGGCAACTCGAACTGCTGCACTTCGGTGCCAAGTTCTATGTTGAATCCAGCAGCAGCAGCAAATTTCTTAGGCTACAAATGAAATCGAATTTGAATTCGAGATCCATTGGTTGGATGTCAAGCGTAGCCAAGGCAATAAGTCATTGAATGATAACTCTTCAAAACATAATGTAACATCATAAAACTAACAATATAAATTAGTGATAACGTCTAAATGGACATCGCCACATTACAGTCGATGGAAGCTGAGAGTAGACAATATTGATTAAATATCTGCTTAACAGCGTAACGGAGGAATAATTCATTTCTCTACCTATTGTGATTGCTGTACATAGTTTTTTCTTTTCATTTCTACAAGTCTGAAGAAGTATACATACTGAACTTACTGTTAAGAAAAATTTGGTGTTTCCCAGGATGCACTGCAGGAAACCACCGGATTCAAACTACTGCGTGTGTAGAATGAATACATAAATACCACGTTTACATCAATACACTCCTTGGCCACTTTACACCAACAGTAAAGAACTTCTGATTGGACACTAGTCAGTAACTAGTGTAATGTGTCTAGTCCTATCTTCGAAGCAGATTGAATTCTATCAGTCAAGCTTGCAATATGGCCACCATGCTAGGTGACTCGCCATTACGGTGCACTGTGAATTATTGGTATTAGATAGTTGGAGACAATCGACAGAAAGCCTTGGACCTAGGTTTCGTGCTAGTTGGCACTCATCAGCAAGGCGTATCTGCAACCTCGAAGAAACCCATGTCCCTTCGGAGATTCGAACCCACGTCACCCAGTGCTGCAGTCAGAGACGTCACCAACTAGCACGAAACCTAGGTTCAAGGCTTCCTGCCAATTGCCTCCAACCATCTAATACTAGCAGTAAAGTACTTCACCAGAAAAACTCCCATAACCACATTTGAACCACATTTTACTTAAACAACATTGCCTCATCCAGATCAATCAATTTAACCCCATATTTATTCACATCACGCTGGATATACCTCTTGTACTTAGCCAAATTGACCTTATATATACATATATGAAAAACTGTTAACAGAAACGGCATTGGCGGAAAGGAGAAATTAGTATATCGCTGATACACATTTCTCATGAAAGTGGTGGATTTGGAAAAATTAAGTACTTGTCTGGTATTATAACCTTGAATAACTTTCACACAGTCCTGTAAATATAACTAATTATACTTATCGCTGCAAACTATTACTTCCGATTTTTATGGAATGAGTCAACCATTATATAAAAAATATAGGAAAAGAGATTGAAAACCTATTTTCGGGTTTTCCGGAAAACTGTTATCCTAAGATTTTGTATCAGAAACTGAAGGATAAAACTATGGAGGATACCATCCCTGCACTTATCAGAGCAACGTCGGAGACTTTATGTAGCATCACTGAGGAAACCTGTGTGATAGAACATTGGAACTGAATGAAGGTGATGTTCAAGGAAACGTGTACAACCGTTTTAGGAAGAAAGAAGGAGCAAGGCAAGGAGTGGCGATCAACGGACATCTGGAAGCTAATAGAAGAGAGGAGGATGGTGAATGAGAAGATGGACCAATGCGAAGATGGACAGCAGAAGAAGCTGAGCTCAATGTACACTGCATTGAATAAAACAGTGAAGAAGAATGCTAAGAAAGGCAAAAGGCAATTCTACGAAATACTGGCAACTGAAGCAGAACAGGCCGCAGGTGAAACCTATAAAAGACGGTCAAGGGAACCAAATCACCAAGGAGCAGAAACAAATAAAACAATAGACTAATCACTCCGAAGGACTCTTGAATCAACCATCACCTGCAACTCGTCCGGAAATGCCACCAACAGCGCGCACAGAACTGCCTGCCAGTGGACACCAATCCTCCAACGAAAGCGGAAATTTTAAGTGCAAAGACCAGAAAGGCAGCTGGACCAAACGAAATTCCCCCTGAAGCACTGAAAACTGCCCCAGAGACTGCAGCAGATATGGTCACGCCATTATTGCAAAAGGTTTGGAAGGAAGGAAATGTGCCTACCTATTGGAAGAAAGGCTACTTGCCTATTCAAGTTACCAAAGTAGGGCTGCATAAGCCTGTGTAAGAAGTGGCATCGAATAATGCTCTCGTCCATGCCATGTAAAGTACCGTCACATCATCCTGGAGAGAATGAAGAATGAACTGGATACAGAACTCCGCCCTACCGCCCGGAATAAGCTGAATGCAGGAAAGGCAAATCATGTGCTGATCAAATTGCAACTCTACGCATTGTCATCCAACACAGCCAAGAACAGAATGGCAGTCAAACCTCTCTCTGTTTCAACTTTATCGATTTCGAGAAGGCCTTCAACAGACAGCGTTGACCGAGAAGTAATTTGGAAACTACTTCAAAACTACAGCGGGCAGTGCCCAAGTCTTTATCAACTTCATTCAACAGCTGGCTATGTGACAATGCCACGTATTACGTGGTCCACAACAGAAAACTCAGTTAGGCGCTTGAAGTGAATACAGGAGTAAGACATGGCTGTCAGCCTATTATTACCTACGATGATATTATTAATTGTGGTGGACTGGATTATGCGTCAGACTGTGCAAAATGAGTGAGGAAGCCATTAGCGAAGACAGGAATTTAGGTGAACATAGAGAAAACGCAGGTGATGAAGATAACCAACCAACAGCATCAACAACCAGTACCGAATACCATCAACGGGAGAAATTTGAAGGTCACTTCCTTCACTTACCTAGGGAGCATTGTTTCAACTGCAGCCAGAGGAACGGATGAAGATGTCAAAGCCAACCACAATCGGAAAGGCAAGATACACATACCTTCATCAACCTGAAATCACTTGGGAATTCTTCTTCACTCAGCAGCATAAACAACAAGATTAGGATATTCAACACAAATGTCAAGTCAGTCAGTTCTTCTATATAGCTCACAAACTTGCAATGTGCGTCATGAAAACCATTTCCAACAAGCTACTGCAGACTTTTGTCAACAGCTGCCTTGACTGGTTCCATATTGAAGATCAAATGGCCGACCAGCCAGAAAGAATTAGAAACAAGAAACTATAGGAACAAACTAACCACGAACCTATCGCTTAACATATATGTAGGAGAAAATGAAGGTGCATTGGGAACAAGTTGAGACCTTTGAATGACATCGCACCATCGCCAGGCCATCGCTTGAGTGGAATCCCTATGGGATGTGACGAGTAGGTCGTCCAAGGGCGACGTGGAGGAGATCGTGCGAGTTGAGAGACTATGGGCAACCGTGGGCCGAGCTAAAGGGGACAGCAGAAAATAGAACAAGGTGAAGATGTATTGTTGAAGCCCAATGTTCTACTCACAACCCAAAGGAACAAGAATAATAAACATTTGTAGGTATAACTGAAAACACAAAAAAAAAAACAATGAATTATCGATAATCAAAGTAATTGTTCATGTTCTGAAGTATGTAACATTAAAAAGCCAAACTACTGTTAGTTTTTTTTCTAACAGTACGATAGATTACTAGTCGATGACTGGAAGAAGCATTTTAAACTGATTACAAAATGATACAATATAATGATTGTTTGAAAGAGCAACTATGGTGCATCGTTACCAATTTCTTTACATTTCTTACTAAAAAAAGTGTGTACAAATTAGGACTACAGGACTACTAATCAAAAGCTAAAGATGTCCGACATGAAATACATGATTTTTTTTTCCTTCACGTTCCCCAGTGGAACATAGGGCTTCAAGCTAGTGGCTTGAAGTTTCTGTAGCAGTGCTTATTTTACAGGATGGGGTTGCTAGCCTCATGCCCAACCTTTACTCTCCACCAGCATTATTTCTGGCTCAGTGAGGTAAAGGAGTGCGTCGGCCGGGGATCGAACCCCAGACCATTTGCATGGTCGGCGAGCCCATAGTCTCTCATCTCGCACGATCTCCACGAAATACATGATAACTTTTAACAAAAATACAAGGGCAGTATTGCCACAAATACATTACAATAAGAAATTATATAGTCCAGAAAGTCTAACAACCTTTGTATGAATTTTGAATATTATACGATCTTTATCGCACATCGCTCCAGAAATCTCAACAACCAATGACTCTGAACTTGGATCATTCGCATCTGACCAACCTCGGGTCTGAGGAGGAAGTTGTGGAAAGGATGAACCCCCGCCAATAGAAACAGTATCATGATAAATGCTGGTTGAGTGCTCGCCGATCTGTTCCTAAAAGTTAAAGATAATAAGGAACTGGTTTTTATCAAGGACTTTATAAAATCTTTTGCAATGATGCGTAAAGTGAAGATAACAGTAAACGCATGACAATATAACATAACATTCTATTAGAAAGTTAAAGGTCTTGACAACCTTCCACTTTAATCCTTAAATGAATAAAATCCAGTCTTTCAAAAAGAAGGGAGACAAGTCTTCTTGTGATAATCATAGGGGATTAGCTGAATTAATGTGGTATCTAAAACCCTAGGCTCAATAATCATACGTAGATTAAGTGGCACTCGGGAAAAACAAACATAAGAAAATCAGTTTAGCTTTATACCAACCATATCTTCACTCTTCGACATGCTTACCTACCAGAGACTAACAATTGCAATATTTCTTGACCTGAAGGTGGCATTCGATTCGTCCACCAAGAGGTACTATGGCGATGTTTGACTGTAAAGGGAATGCTGAGAAAATACATCACACTAATAAGTGACTGTATTTGAACTCATGCAGCCACGTGAGAGCCTACGGAGTTATCATCTAAGGTGGTGACAACCAGTGGTGTCCATCAGGGATCCCTAATGTCCATATTTCTCTTTAATTTCGTCCTAGATGTACTAATAGAATTGAACCTGACTGAATTCAGTGACTCAGGGATTGACTTGTTAGCACCAGGGAATGATCTCGCTGACTTAGAATATGTGGATGATATAATCCTTCTAGGTGAAAACGCCGAAAAAATGCAGTCTTTTGAACACCTAGGGGGGTAGCAATCTTCGAATGTTTGGCATGCGATTCGCTGCTGTCAAATGTAATATGATGCTACAGGACAGGACTACATCGACTCCTAGCTAGCTTAAAGATCGGAGGTGAAGTGGTAGAGCGTGTTAACCACTTCACTTATTTGGGTAGTTACATCGTCCCTAATGGACTGATTGGTGACGATATAAAAGTATCGTTTGTCATTTGCCAATTTACGCCATCCCTGGCTAAGTAGACGTGATATCCGGCTGGCTATCAATCATAAGTTTGTCTGGCTCAGTAAGTTCGCTCCATCCCCCTTTATTTCTGAGACATGGCCAATGGAAGTGTAAAATATGAAAAGGCTGGTTAGCTGTCTTTGATCATAGGTGGGTGCGTTCTATCTCCCGTGTTAGTTGGTGGTATAATAAGATGAGCAATATTAAGGTTAGGTCTCGGCCAAGTGTCAGGTAACGATGGAAAACCAATCGACGAGGTTGTGAAGTTATATCGATTGAGATGGTTAGGACATGTGTTACGCATGCCTAGACATCACCTTACTCAACGGGCAATGCTGGCTGGCCGCTGGTGATCAAACCAAAACATGGCATCAGTCAGTGAAATCCATAACAGTTAGTTTAAGCCAGCCAGCCAAGTAGAGAGGTGTAGACTGTGTGGTTGGTGTCGTCGAGACAGTAATGAAGGTTGGAGACAATCAGCGGTGATGTGGCTCAAAATCGTGCTCAATGGCTAGCACAGATGCATTCACTCTTTGTGATTTGTCATATCCAATAAAAGTCTATTGTTCTTCCATATTACTACTCTCTTTCCCTCACACTTCTGTTTATTATCCCTCTTTTGAATCTCTCTTTACTCTTTTCTCTTGCTTTGTGTGGTATATTGAGTGTGGCAACTGCAATTGCCACATATCTGTGCAAATTTCTATGTTGAAACCAGTCAGTCTCTCAAAAATGCTTTAAATCCATCAAAGAAAGATATTATGTCTAATATTATGACTAATAGTGATTTATATTTTAACTAATAAAATTATCGATATTGCAATGGTCATACCAATATAACTGCGAAAATAAAGGCTTAAAATGGATAAATTTGTAGTTTACCACAACGGAGACTTTAGATTCACTTAAAGTGCTATGTTAGAAAGCATTTGTCCAGTCTAGTTTGAGCCGGTTACTGCTTTTTTGAAGTACATAACTTATACCTTATTATATTAGATGGCTGGAGGCAGGAACCCTTGGACCTTATCTTAGTATATCCTTTTATTTTGTTAGTATACATACCGTTGTCGTTTTAAATAAAGAATGTGGTAACCTGAATGTGAAATAACTAAAATGCTATATTATGAAACTAGCATTCACTCATTTTTCCTATTGAAATAATATCTAACAGAGGTTAACTGAAACCTCAATAGAGCGCACAAGATGTGCAGCCTAAACAACTTCCCCTACCGTTGTAGTTGTAACATCCATCATTATTACACCATAAAACGACACTTCCCATTGCTTCTTTAAACACTAGTTGTAAAAATGCGAAACAATAACTAACTTAAGTAACTCATATTTTATACACATCTGTTTTCCTATAAAACTTAAGCTGACTGACTTCTTTCAACAGCCGAACTTGAAATAAACTGGATCTACATCTATGTTTCACTTTGGCGACACATACTTCGAAACTGCATATTACGTTAGGGTAGACCCTGATACATAGTACGGCTTATATCACCAAACAATTCAAGAGTAATTTACACCCTTTGCTGAGAACACCTTCAAGCTAAGTGACCGAAAAACCAATGTAAAAATGTGAAAAGAAGTGTGAGTCCAATTTGTCACACTTCAGGAAATAAAATACTAGAATAAATGAACAGTAATTTCATAATACCACAATGGAAAACATGACGAACAACGACAATGTTAATAGTTCCCAAGATGACAGGGCAAGAAGGTAACTCGGTTTTGAGATATTCCACAGAAATTCTTTAACTAGTGATACTCCATATCGATAGTCGATAAAACCACGGTTGTTGTGGTGTTCAGAACTACACATACAGGATTTCATTTCATCAAACTTTAACTCAATATGCATAACATGTCTCAACCATCTTATTTCTGAAGATTCATTACATCGACAGGCTGACCATTATTTCATAACATGAAGTCTAGTGGTGATATGACGTACTTTATGACAGGAATATATGGGGATATATCTAACCGGAGAAAATGGGAAACGGTCACCAGTCACCTGTTTTACAAATATGGGATTCTCAATAAAACTACAAAATGACATGAAATGGCCAACTTGAAGTTCTGTTTAGCAGCTTCTGACAAAAATCTACAGAGGTTATTCTAACTAGATTTTTCATGTGATAGGATCTACACAAATGTCGGTTTATTTCAAAGTAAAGAATTTGAAGACGACTAACTCCGAGATAAAGAACAGCCAACCAAAGAGAAATTTCTGCTGCATGACTTGGGCAGGCATACAGAAAAAGATGTGTTAACTACATTATAAGACCATGCGTTTGCAATCTAAATTAAGGTAAGCGTCACACAGAAATTCGACTTTAAATTAAGGGGGAGACTAGTTTCGAAGCCTACTGCGGTAGCTTTACAAGCATTTGGTGCAGATTCGCTCTTATTTAGCAGTCGTTAGCAAGACTTTCAGAGATTGCACTGAGATGTTAGGAATTTCATTGCGAAGAGCACTATAGATGGTGTAGGATTTTCTTGTCCTTAGATGCCCAATTCATACAAAATGCCTTCGTAGTAGGGCATGACCGGAAGTGGAAACAGCTAGCCTAAAGCCTTCAAGACTTTAAGTTAAAGTGGGTACGCATTTAATTAAAGATCGATTATAAACATTAAACTTAAATTTCACAGTGGATTAACTACAAAATGTTTCATAAAAGAGAAGTTATCAGCTATAAAACACAAAGTCATTTTCCCCCAATAACGTGCAAAATGTCCAACAAAGTCATGCAAAATAACTGCCAACTTTGAAAACTGAGACAACAAACCATCGTGGAGCCAAAACTAAGACAGCCCGCACTGAGATTCAGCGTTCAACAAGCCAAATGGTTTCGTCCAACTTCAACACAGAATCTTTGTATTATTAAATAAAAAATAAGGACTTTTGTCTGAACATTTTACCGGTTACAGAATGTACCATCATCTCTTAATATCCAGAAGTGAAAATCAATCAACACACCACGAGAGTACTGGATAACTTTACCACACCAAATGCTCGGTTCAATCAAATAGTAGAATGAATCTTCCTAAAATCACATATATTTGCTTTTTTCCCATTCAAACTTAACTATTTTAAACTCAACAATGTATTTATCACTTGCGTGTACCAAATTTCATTATCAAACACATATATTGTCTTTTATAGTGAGCTACTATAGCATCCAAACTATTTCTTTGTATTTGCTAGACTAACACTGAGACTGTGGATTGCTTGATTGTAATTCCTATTGTTTTCGAGTACTTTAACTACCCTTTAATTGATTTTGATCTTGCGAAAGTACAAGCTGATTGTCCTAATTTTGATTTTTTTTTCATGATTTGACATTGTCTGACAAGAGGCGATTCAGTAATATTTGGGACGTGAAGAACTGGAAATCTACTTAGGGGATAACACAATACAACACAGTCCGATGCCAAAACACATAAGGCTATTCACCCTCACTAACTGGAGTGAGTGGCACTTCAAGATTTGTGTCGGATTTAATCTGGCTGCATACAAAAGGTTCTGCAAGGTAACGTCTACTTGGTTATGCAGAATATGTTGCTCCTCTGGATCTGCCCCTCTCTCAAAAGCCACACAGGTCCCTTTAGATCACTTGGTTTGAAACGGTGATGTAAATTGGAGGTTGTATAAGGAATCATGAAAACACTGAACCACGGAATAATTCGTTCACCTTGTTTATCTCTAATGCTCCCGATCAGTAGCTGCTACCATGACGTGGTGGTCGGGCTTGCATATCGCAATGACCCAACGAGCTACACTGGCTGGAACTTATGTTCCTGTAGGTCCTACCCTGCCAGAAAGGTCGTTTGGATAGCGGTTAGACAAAAAGCAGTTACCCAACCCAATCCTATGACTCAAAGTAAATCACAAAATATCATGCCGGATCGGTCGGGGCCTGTATTAACAGCGACCGCGCTTCCTGCTGCCATGTCACAGGGCAGAAGTGATAAATATGCTACTGAGACACACCAAACAAAAAAGAACAAACAAAAACAGGCCGCGCGTGACCGGCCTCAAACAGTTGTCCTCTAGGCTCTGCGGTCACGCAACACCAACCTTTTCTCTCTCCCCTTCTCAGGCGTGAGGCTAGCAACCCCACCCTGTTAACAAAGATGCTACAGAAACTTCAGCACGATGAATTTCCTTGCACCAAAAGAAAAAGTCCGTGTGGAGACATGGAATGTCCGCACCGTGTACAAGATTGGCAAAGCTGTCCAGATCGCAAACGAAATGAAAAGATACAAGAGACAATCCAAATCAAATTCAAAGCTTTCAGAGAAACAGGAGCTGCAGATAGACCACAAGCCAAGTTCACCACTCAAAAGCTGAAGGACCAGGACACAAAGAACATCTTCACTGCAAGCATAAAGGACAAAGCCGAGACACAAATCAACACTAGCGAAGAGGTCAGCGTCGAAAAGCACTGCAACAACTTGAAAGCAGTGTGGAGTCAAACCTGCATGGAAGTTCCAAGCAGAAAGAAGAGATAGGACAAACAATGGCTCACTACGGACACTTGGAGACTAATGGAAGAGAGAGGGATTGTGAAACAAAAGATTCTCCAGTGCACCGATGAGCAACAAAAACAAGATTTGAATGCAAACTACAAGACACTGAACAAAAGAGTAAAGAAGAGTGCCAGGGAAGACAAAAGAAAATATTATGAAGCCGTGACAAGTGAAGCAGAACAAGCTGCAGGCAAAAAAGACCTTGCAACACTCTACCAAACAACTAGATAACTATCGGGCAAAAGTTTGACACAAATTAAGCCAGTGAAGGATGACAATGGAAAGTCACTCAACAAAGAAGTGGAGCAAAGGAAACACTGGGCTGAACACTTCAAAAGACTCCTAAATCGACCACCACCTACAACGCGACCAACAATACCAACGACGGAGACAGAGCTACCAGTGAACACCAACCCCCCGACGAAACCAGAAGTCCTGAAGGCAATCAAGATGGTAAAAGCTGGAAAAGCAGCAGGACCAGATGGAATCCCAGCAGAAGCGTTGAAAATGGACCCAGAGACAACAGCGGACTTGACGACGCCACTACTGGAGAAGGTGTGGAAAGAAGGCAAAGTACCCGAGGATTGGAAGAAAGGATACTTATTCAAACTACCAAAGAAAGGAGACTTAAGTCAATGCAAGAACTGGCGCGGAATTATGCTCCTGTCCATCCCCAGCAAAATACTGAGCCGCATCATCCCGCAGAGAATCAAACACGCCCTGGATGAAAAACTTCGACCGGAACAGGCTGGATTCAGGAGAAACAAGTCATGCATTGATCAGATCGCTACATTACGGATCATCATTGAACAAAGCTTGGAATGGCAGTCACCTCTCTATCTCAACTTCAACGACTTTCAAAAGGCCTTCGACAGTGTCGATCGAGAGGTGATTTGGCAACTACTTCGCTACTATGGGGTGCCGCCGACAATTACACATCTCATCCAACAGCTGTACGACAATGCTTTATGCCAAGTAATCCACAACGAGAAACTTACGGAATCCTTCGAAGTGAGGATAGGAGTAAGAAAAGGCTGCCTAATATCGCCAATGATTTTCCTAATTGCAGTAGACTGGATAATGCGACAAACAGCGGGCAATGACGAAACAGGCATAAAATGGACTCACACAAAAAACTTGGAGGATCTGGACTTCGCCGATGATATATGTCTGATTTCCCACAAACTGGAAGACATGCAAACGAAAAGCAACAAGTTAGCAGAAGAAGCATCAAAGATAGGACTTCAGGTGAACATAGAGAAAACAGAGGTGATGAAGATTCCTGGGCAATACCACCAACAGCAACAACAACAGACAACGATCAGCATAAATGGGAGGAACCTGAAAGAAACAACCTCCTTTACCACCTACCTGGGAAGCATCGTCTCAACTACAGGCAGACGGAACTGACGAGGATATCAAAGCAAGAATCGGAAAAGCAAGACAAGCTTTCACTACTCTCAAGTCTGTGTGGAGGTCAACATCACTCAGCATCAGAAATAAGATCCGGATTTTCAACTCCAATGTGAAGTCAGTGCTACTATACGGATCAGAGACTTGGCCAGCGCGTCATAAAGAGCATCTCAAACAAACTACAGACCTTCATTAACAGTTGTCTTCGCTCAATACTCAAGATCAGATGGCTGGCCAGAAAAGATCAGCAACAGAGATCTCTGGCAATGAGCGAACCAACTCAGCAGGAACCGATTGTGAAACAAATAGGCAGGAAGAAATGGAGATGGATTGGCTGGCCATACTCTGAGGAAACAATCCATCAAGTGACATCACTAGACAAGCCATTGCTCGAGTGGAACCCGAAAGGGAAGCGGCGAGTTGGTCGTCAGTGCAAGGGTGACTTGGAGGAGGTCATGTGAAGAGGAGATGAAAATTCTTTAAACTCTGTAATGGCATCAATACCTATATCAATCTCAGAAACATAACTCACTCAGTTCAGAAGCTTTCGAAATACCTCTTGTTTGCTGGACTGTGTTAATCCTATTGATTGGAATTCACGAAAAACCATTATTCTTCATCTTTGGTTTTAATAATATGAAACAGGGATAATTTTTTACCATTGAAGGTCCCTGGGGTTAACTATTGGTTTACGGTTTGTTGATTGAGAATAGAAGGCTTGAAGCCTATGTTAACCCTTCTTGAATGAGTCTGCTGATGGCACTGACACCACTCGTTGTACGAGTCGGTTCCAGGAGTTGATGACTATATGAAAACCATTACTCCTCGGTGATATAGTTTCTCTTTGGCTTTTGAACTCTCCTGAGAAGTCCTCTGACGCGTCCCAGCCTGGTGGGAAGGCAAATAGAAAATAGATCAAGTCCGTAGTCATTATTGTTTGTGAACGCCATTGTCACCACCTTAAAAATTTTGTATTATGCAGGATTACTCACACTACTACTACAAACACTGCATTAGACCTGATAATAAAAGACAAAACAACAACCCTGAAATGTTATTTTATGATTGTTTAGAGTTGTTTCAACCAAATTAACTGATCACCTTGGCGATAAACATTCTTAAATATCATTTCATAACTTCTGGTGTGACTACAGCTTTGCTGTCAACATGCATAATCATATCATTGCCCCCACTACCCAATACTGAGTTATTATTATATGATGTTTCTTTCCTTTCTGCTTCTTGGTAATTTTTAGTATTTTTGAGAAATTCTTTTGTGTTTTTCCTGTTTTCTTGCTGTTGGTGTCTTTATACTTATTTTTTGAAATACTCCTTTTAAACTTTGGATAAATTTAGATGCAAATATTGTAGATATGTGCTGAAAATTCCACACTGTACCACTAGTACTGTTTCTGGAATAAAGCAAATTATTATTATTACTTGAAATTTTATGCATTGTAGTGAGATCTCCTTTCTGCCTACGGGATGACAAGGAGAAAAGATTCAAACTATCCAGTCTTCCTTAATATGGTAAATTGGTCGTGCCAAGAATCACACGTGCTGCTTTCCTTTGAACCCTCCCTAGAATATGTGAGCCCTCTTTAAGACAAGGACTGACTGCATGGATACAGTTTTACAGTCTTAAAATGATCACAGATGTATAAAAATGTATGCGTATAAAAGTATTTTTGATGATTCTATTAAACGCTCTTAATATTCCTCAGGAGGACCTGTGGCTACGAGCTGCCACCGTGCGACATGTGCTGTAGTTTTTAAGTCATGACTTACTGTGGCACCTAGATCGATATCAGTCTGACTTCATGGGAGTGTTACTCTCTTCGGTTCGTATGAGCTGAAACTTGTGTGTCCGATCCGCATGGTTGTGCATTTCGCCTCATTGAACGGAAGCATCCATCCTTTGGACCACTCTAACGATTTGTTGGGGTCTCCTTGCAAAGTGACCGTATCAAAGTCGCCCTTCGGCTCCCTCCAAGTTTTTAAGTCACCTGAGAGTAGGACTACTGGGAAAT